GCCAGGCAAGTCTAAATTAACTGAATTTTGATGTAGAGTGAGACGATTTTCTTGACCTTAAATGACTTGTGGGATGACCTGATAGACAAATAAGTCAGAATGGAAAACTGCTGTAAGTGACCTTACTTTCCCACTTTTTGAAAGGGAGATTGCATTTCCTTTCCACAAGATTGCTGTGAGACTCGATGATGTAATGCATTTCTAAGGGCCTAAGGTCTAAGGTGCAAAGATAGAAACATAGAAGGAAAAATTCTCTGGAGTTAATTTCCACTTTGTTCATACTCAAGGTGGACCCATCATACTATCTCAATATTACAAGTGACACTTGATGTTTAAGATACGTTTTCATCAGGCTGCTGACTTCAGAGCTGATTGAAAAGCACTTGACATTCTGATAGCTTGTTGCCAGGAATAATGTTTTCTTATTTTTGTCTGAAAAGCTAACATAACTGTTATTAATAAGGAATGCATTTTTCCTTGTTAAAAATCAAAACATTACAAGTAGGGCTAAAAATCTCTTGATCACCATTCAAAATCTCCCTTGCCAAATACTACAATCCATCTCACAATTCTACTTATGAGGGAACCATTTCTATAGGCATAGTGTTTAATCTGCTAGATCTTCTATGTATATATAAAAGTGTGTACATATCTATAAAAACTTACAGTGTGCCTTACATACACTTTGCAATTTTCTTGTTTACCTAAAAACATGTCACAGATTGCAAACCATCTAACAAAATATATCTCTAACTTATTCTTCTTTATGATTGTCTAGTATTTCACGATAGGAATATACCACAATTTAGAACATTCCCCAATGAATTGACATTTTCTCAACTCAAGTTTTTGTTCTTTGAAAAACATATTTCAACACACTTCTTTATGCATGCCTCATTTTGTATACATACATCTTTCTTTGGGGTAAATAATAGTAAGTTGGGTATATGGACAACAGGGTCTGTGCATTTTTGTTTAAATTATCTTTTAATTTATATACTCAATGGCAGAGCATAGGACCAGGCATTTCTCTACATTATTGCCAAATTTCATGCATTTGAAAATTTTGCCAATCTATTGGATAGGATTGGTATCCAGTTACTGCTTTAAAGTTTGATTTTCTGACTCCAAGAGAGGTTAAATGTGTAGATGTTAACTAGCATTTTATTGCTCCCCCTGCCACCCCCATTAAGTGCTTTCTACTTGCTTAGCCTATCTTTTTTGGTAGCACCTGAAAGTGATTTATAGTTGACCGCTGGTGGCTTACTCCTGTAATCTTAACTGATCAGGAGGCTGAGATATGAGGATCATGGCTCAAAGCTGAAGGACATTGCCTAGGCCCTGAGTTTTCAGTTCTAGTACTAGCACACACAAAAAGTGATTTACAAAGATTTTTTATACCAGAAGTTAATTTTGTTACACAGTTTCAAGTATTTGTCTTTTAGTTGTCTGCCTATTCAGTTTCTGATCTTCTGTCTCAATGAAGTGTTAAAAAATAATCTCTCACTTCAGTTATGGATTTCTTTTCAATTTCTTTTTAGGCACACTTTCCTTACCCTTTGCATATAACAAAGTATCCTGTATTTTTTAAATGCTTTTAGAATAGTTTTATCGTGTGTGTGTGTGTGTGTGTGTGTGTGTGTGTGTGTGTGTGTGTGTGTGTGTGTGGTGTTTATGTACTAGTACTGGGACAACTTAGGACTTCACTCTGTTGTTCAGTCTTTTCACTCAAGCCTGGCATTCTACCTACCCATTGAGTTTCTCCTCCGATTTTGGCTTTTTGCTACTAATTGGATATAAAAATCTTGTGGATTTTTCTGCTTAGGTTGGATTTATATTATGATTCTCAGATCTCTAGATAGTTAGTATTACAGGCATGAGGTACTAGCAATGGGCAGTGGTTCTATATTTTCATCTTGGAATGTTTATTTTTTCTAAGTATGAATAAACCTTTTCTTTTTGCTTGGCTGGCCTGGAAGTGAAAAAAAATCAGAGAAGAACATGAACTCATAATGTGTGGCAGGAAATAATTCACATTTAACACAGAAGGATCACAGAACACTAGAAGTATTGCACTTTTCCTAAGTACATCTAACATGAGCTAACAGATAATTCATGTAACAGCTACAGTAACTTAATGGAGCCTCTTTCACCCAAAAAAAATCTGAGTATGGACAGGCTAACAATGTTAGAGTTTCCCAATTGATAAATGATAAAATGGGTAAGGGAATATAAGGTAAGGGAATATTCATCCATTCATTAGTTCACTTTGTAAGTATCCATCACATATATAAATATGACATATGTATAAATATGGAGAGACAAAGAAACAATCAGAATGATAAGTATATAGTTAGAATCCACTATTTTTTTTATGTGGATGAATCATGTTTAGTAAATATAGTAATCAAGGGAGTCCAGGAATGTTTCACTGAGAAGTATCATTGCATGGAAATTTCAACTAGAGGGAAGAAAAGAAACTTTTTGACAGAGGCTCTCAGGCAGAAGAAAACCGGGGAAAGAAATAGAAGCCCAGTGAGATTGAGGTAGGAAGATCAAGAGGGGTGGCTTTGATGAGATAAGAAGGGGCTAAAAATGATAGCATAAAA